AAAGCTACAGTAATCAAGGCAGTGGTGGCATAAGGAAAGACATATAGACCAATGGAATAAAACACAGAATCTAGAAATAGAACCACACATATGGTCCACTGAGTTTTGAAAGATTATTTAACATTAACATTTTATAGAACATAAACAATTCAATAGCAGAGAAAAAGGGTGTTTTCAGCAAATGGTACTAGAACACCTGGTATCTGTATGTAAAACATTAACCTCAACCCTTTTTTCTCATACATAAAAATAACTGGATCTATGAACCTAAATATGAAAGACTAAAACTATAAAACTTTAAGAAGAAATTATATGGGAAAATGTTCATGAATTTAGGGTAGGCAAGAACTTCCTAGGATACAAAAAACATGATATATAAAAGAAAGAAATTGATAAATGAGATTCCATCAAAATTTAGAACTTTAAATGACATCGCTAAGAAAATGAAAAGTAGTCCTTAAACAGACCATATTTATAATGCATATAACCTATGACCAGAATATATAAAGAACTTACAGCTCATTAAGAGACAACCCAATTAAAAAGTAGACACAAGAAGATGATAAATAGCCAGTAACCATAAGGAAAGGTGTGCAACAATAGAATCAGAAAAATACTAATCAGTACAATGACAAGATTGTGTTACACACTCATTAGGGAGATGAAATTAAAAGTTTTACAAGAACAAATGTCAGCTTAGGTGTGAACCAGTTAAAACTGTCTAAAACTGCTAATATGAATGTAAAATGATGAAGCCATTTTGGAAAACAATATAGAAATTTCTTCTATTACTGTTAAGAACCAACAGTTCTGTTCTTAAGTTTTTACTTAGGAATGAAAACACATGTTCACAATAGATTTGTACATACAAGTTGATTATCACTTATCTGAAATTCTTGGGATCAGAAGTGTTTCAGATTTTGATTTGAAATCCACTTGATCTGCAAAGAGGATAGCTGGTCCTGCTTTTTCTGGGGGTTCCCATCACATGGAATATTGTTTTCCACTCTTTAACTTTCAGTCAGTGAGTTTCTTTTTGAATTAAATGTGTTTCTTGTATGCAGCATATTGTTGGATCTTGCTTCTTGACCTGTTTTGCCAGACTTTCTTTTGATTGGTGAATTGAGACCATTAACATTGATGATTATAACAGATACATATTAACTTATCATTGTCATGTCTTTTTTCTTTTTTGGATTCTCTCCCTTTGTATTTACCTTCTTGTGACACCTGACGGATTCATTCTGCTGGGGTTCCTGGGGTTGTGTTCCTTGTTGTCTTTTCCTAGGATATAGTCTCAAATTTTTTGGAGTGCTGGTTTGGTATTCATGAAGTTCCTAAGGTGCTCCTTCTCATGAAAATATCTTATTTCTCCATCTATATTGAAAGATATTTTTGAAGGGTACATCAATCTGGGTTGGAGACTGTTTTCCTTTAGGGCTTGAAATACATCACTCCACACTCTTCTTGCCTTGAGGGTTTGGGTTGAGAAGTCTGCTGTGATTCTGATGGGCTTTCCTTTGTATGTGATTTGTTTCTTTTCTCTA